TATAGCAGTATCAAAAAGAACTTTTTGGTGGCTAATTAGCCAATCACATCTTAGCTGAATGGCTGTCATGTTGTGTGAATGGTCAGTAAGCTCACCTAGATTATTGTGTTAGAAGTCCTTGGCGTTCAAGTTTTATCTTATTATGCCAAGGCTATTAACTACATGTGATCCATTGCTAAAAGCATAACTGGTATTACTGTTCAGCAAAAAATGAAGTTTGTGGGTTATATCAGCAATGCAGTATCGACAAGAATTTTATGGTGGCTAATTAGCCAATCACATCTTAGCTGAATGGCTGTCATGTTGTGTGAATGGTCAGTAAGCTCACCTAGATTATTGTGTTAGAAGCCCTTGGTGTTCAAGTTTTATCTTATTATGCCAAGGCTATTAACTACATGTGATCCATTGTTAAAAGCATAACTGGTATTGCTGTTCAGCAAAAAACAAAGTTTGTGGGTTATATCAGCAATGCAGTATCGACAGGAAATTTTTGGTGGCTAATTAGCCAATCACATCTTAGCAGAATGGCTGTCATGTTGTGTGAATGGTCAGTAAGCTCACCTAGATCATTTAGTGTTAGATGCCTTTGGTGTTCAAGTCTTATCTTGTTATGCCAAGCCTATTAACTACATGTGTCTGCTTTGTTAATATTTGAAGCTGACCGGGAAATTTGATGTTAATCTGCTGGTGTGATTGTTAGGGATTAGTTCTGTTAGAACTCATGATCATGTCATTCACAAAATCTACTTTCCATATCATGAAACTTTGTATATATTTAGTTAGCTTTGGCAGTTATTGTGAATATTTGAACAACGATCTATATTCGTTTTTATATTTAGAAAAATTGCTTGTCTATTTGGAATTTAGTTTGATTTTTTTGAGAGAAGATGAAGAGGACGGTGTAGTTTGTAATGGCAGACTAATTTCTAAAGTTTTTGGCTGCATTCAGTATTAATTATCGGGTTACTGGTTTAGGTTGCACTTTCTGAGGTTCCAGTATTGGATGATATAGTTGTAACTTGTAATTGATATTTTGATATATTTAAATATTTCTTGTTTCTTTTTCCCCTTTATATTGCTTGTTCATGTTATTGAGTAGACTCAGATTGAATGTTTTGAACCCTAATTGGGATAATGATGTGGCAAGAAGAAGAACATTTATATCGGTCTGCATATCATGTCTGACTTGTTTATTATTTTTTGGAGTGCGTGTTCTGATCTTTACTTTTTTGGGTTATTAAGGTTCGGGACTAATTAAGAAGAAAGGGTTTAAAGGATCATTTGGAGAGGCGGTATCATCTGCTAAGGTATTGAATATTATTTGGTTGAAAGAATTTGATCATACGGATTTTTTCCCCTTATTCTTGATTTGGTATGATTGACTTTTATAATCTCTCCAGACATTTGCAGTTCTGTCTGGAGTCCACAGTTTGGTTGTATGCTTCTTAAAAAGGATTCGAGGGAAAGATGATGGTATGGCTTTTTAACTGTAGACTTGCTTCAAAACTAGACCAATCACACTAATTCATCCTTGTTCCTACAGTCATAAATGCAGGGGTAGCTGGATGCTGCACTGGTCTTGCTTTAAGTTTTCCAGGTACTTGCATATTTTTCATGTTTTTTGTGGTCGCTTTTTGCTTGTGAACCCTTTCCGTTGCATACTTTATTGCCTCGGAAAGAGATTTGGTACACCCACAAATGTTCTTGCTCATGGAAATTGATACCTTCATTTTGGAGACTTTAAATAGTTTGAGTTCTCAATCTGAAAAAATCTGTTATACCCTGAGGGTTAGCAAGTCTTTTTCAGTAAGCTGGGTAAAAAGGGTACAAGTAGGTAATGCATAGATGGTACAAGTAGATAATGCAGGAATTTATTATAAATACGAGGTCTGGGAGGTCTAGGTGGGTATTATGTTTTCTATACCTTTGGACGTGTGTCTTTGGAGAGATTAAAACATGACAACTGTTCAACATTTGGTAAGACAGAACTGGACAAAATAGATAAAATGATCAATTTACCCCTAATGAGTTGTTTATATATTTTGATTAATTTATGTAACTTATAAAGTTATAAAAAAATAAATATTTTTTATAACAAAATATATCATTTGAGTTTTCATCAAAACGATTAAAATGACACACCAAAATAAAAAGTTTATATAGTTTCCAATTTTTATTTTATACCTTTTCTATATTATTTTATTATTAAAATTTAATACGTTACATAAATTAATCAAAATATAAAAACGTATTAAAATAATATTTTGAGGAGAGCAAAGTGAAAGTTTGAAGAGTATAAAATACAATAAATAAAATTAAAGAATGAGTTAAATGTAAAGTGGGAGACATACTTAATGGTTTAGAAGACAATTAGGTTTTATTTTGAGGTTACGTTGGTAAAATATTGGTTTGTTCCACCTTGTTCCCATGGGGTGGGGTCTGTCTGCTAAACGTGGAACTGTGATCTTTGTTTTGTCCTGGCTGTACGAGGGACATGACAGGGTATGACAAACCAAAACTTGTCCACATCCGGTGCAACATCAGACCGGGACATGATATGACCGAACTGATTGGTTTTTGTCCCTAACAAACTAGGTGGAACAAAATTCACGAAGATGAGACAAGATTAGTAAATTACCAAACTACCCGTGTCAAAATTAAAACTCTAAAAAACTCGTATGATTCTTTCACTCGCCTACTTAATGCTCGGCCATCTAGTCCCATCTGTGTACCAAACGCATCCTAAAAAAAGCTAGAACTTGGAATCATTTTTCTTGAAGTCATCTTCATCGTATGCCATCGTTTGATTTTCATGAGCTATTTACCTTTCTTCTCCAGGTGCACCCCAGGCTCTTCTGCAGAGCTGCATCACGTTTGGTGCGTTTTCCTTCATCATTGAAGGCCTTAACAAGCAGCAGCCAGCAATGGCACATTCGTTTTCTTCCATGACCCAAAGAGGTCAACGAGACTATGGGATACTTCCGCCATTGACCCTTCCCCTTCCCAACGAACTTAAAGAGTCGTTTTCTTTCTTCCGGAAAGCCATCGAACAACGAAGCAGCAAAGTCAACTTCCGTCGTGGCTCACATTAATCATTGATTGAGGTTATAAGTCTCTCTCTTCTCTTCTCTTCCCTTCCATACCCTTCTAGAAGTTTTGCCTGCACCCGTCGTTTGTAAATTTGCAGTGACACACTTCCCGTTTTTCCCTAGATTCTGCTTATCGAAATGTCATGTTGTAGTTGATAATGAGGCTGTGCTTTTTCATGTCGTTTGACAAACCGAAATACTGATCTTTAATGTCATAACCGGCTTCCCTTTCGTCTCTCGTTTTGTATCCATGATCTCGTTGGTGTAGCAACGGGTCTTCACGGAATCAGTCACTCTATGTTTTTGAGGTCGAGGTCAGATTTACGTAAATCCCACCCTTCCGGACTCCACATCTGGGACTAACTGTGTTTGTTTGGTTTGAACTCGTTGTGTGCTTATTTCTTTACTCTTTGTTTTCCATACATCACGGAAACAGCCGCTCTACTATACGTGGTAAAGGTCAGATCTGCGTACATCTCGCCCTCCTAGACCCCACCTATGGGTGGGATTTATTGGAATACAAACAAGATAAATAAAAGTTTGTATTGAATTCAACAATCAACAACAATATGGCTTTTGGATTCTTCATATGTTGTTTTCTAATTGTAGAACATCAAAAAATTTATGAACAAATGATAAACGAAAATGTGTTGATTTCATTAAACAATATTCACGTGCATTCCCTTGAGATTTGTAAAGAGTTGAGACTTGTTGATAACCCAGATATCGTTGAATTAGATGACGTTTGTTTTTTAAGAGGTGCTGAAGTTTGAAGTGTTATTTTAATTCTGATTAATAAATTAAGAGGCGATGTTGAGTCTGAAATTTGAATCAATAAGACTGTTTGTTTTTATAAACTAACAAATGTTTGAATTCTGAAATCTTAATCGGTAGTTTGTTTTTGTAAGGTCAAGTTCAAACATTTTGCAAAATTCTCTTGATTTTTATAAAATTTTCATTGTTGAAATTCATCAATAATTGTTTAACAGATGGAACATAGTAAGAACCTTTTGGATATCTTTCAGACTTTTGATGCTATTGGAAATGCTGCTTGTGAGTTTGTTTGTGGAAAGATTGATACTTTTGATAGAAGATAGATTATTGATAGAAGTTCTTGTTTCTCATTAATCTTCTAATGAATCTATACATATAGGAATTATATATATATATATATATATATATGTGTGTGTGTGTGTGTGTGTGTGTGTATAGAGAGAGAAGGTGGGGGGGGGGGTGTATTTCATGTGCGTGATGAAAGGACGGTAGTGTCCTTGATGGTAAAGAAACAATAGCCAAAGAGAATCAAAGAAAATGAGAAATAAGAGGAGTTAAGATATTAGTTTATCTTTTATTTATTCAAAACCTATTAAGTGATAAGAGACTCTTAAAATAATAAAAAACAATCAATCTTAATTACAAGACGTCTGAATAAATCAGACATAAATGGTAATTAAGAGTTGAAAATGAAAAAATAAACAAGGCTTGACCATATGTTTTGTTTATCTTTTTTGCTAAAAATTGTGACTTTTCGTTTTCAAAATTACAATTTTTGTCCTAGTAGTTTGCAAGTCATTGTTGTTTTTTGTCTCGTAAACCGACTCCATCAATGACTTTTACTATTAGGTATGAGGTACAAAACTAGTGATACCGGTCCCGGGCCTCAACAAATCTGGCCATAACTGGTCCCGGTCAAAAAAGGTGAGTCTGGTCAAGCTTTATTGTAACCGCTTATGGGCCGCCGGTCTCGGTCATTAATTTTTTTTTTTGAATGATATGTATTTCAAATACACTTTAAAAATGCGTTTTATTATAATTAAAATTACATTGTCCAACAAAATATAGCGAGAAATCGAGAATTGTACAAGTTTTTTTTTGCGTTTTTTGCGAATTGAAAGCTTGGTATGTAAACCCCTCAACCAAAACACTTATATATAGTGTTTAGAAAACAAAAAAAATACAAAAAAAAGGGCCAAAACCGGTGATAAGCGGCTACAATTTTTTAAGAAAGCTACACTTTTGAAAAATCGGGACGGACCGAGCCGGTCCCATAACTAGTCCCGGTCCCGCGAAACACCTCAAATTCATAACCGGTCAGAAATTTCAATCTTATAACCAGTCCTTACCGGTTCCGAGCCGAACCGGTTTGGCCATCACTAGACAACACCTTTGTAACCATGGAGTTCACATGCAATGACTTTTAAATTATTCATCATCACTCGGATATTTAATGTGTACACGTAAGTTGAACCGAATGTCCATAGTCATATGAGCGGAATAAACGCACGAATTACGAACTACAAAAAAAACCATAATTTCAAAACACTAATGACTCTTTTAAACTACAAACATGGTCCTTGTGGTTTGTTGAAAATAATATTTTTTGTCCTTGCAAATTTGAAATTACAAGATGGTCGTTAAAATTTGTAAAAGCATTTGAATTTGGTAAATTCCTTCAACAGTCTTTAAAAAATTTCGTTGTGTTCATTTATAGATTTTTTTAATCTTTTAACACAATCAAAATCAATTTTATGAGTTTGGATAAAATTGATTTTGATTGGGTAAAAGACAAAAAAATCAATAAAAGAACAAAACATGACCCTTAACGGAAATTTTTAATGCCCATTAAAAAATAGACCAAATCTGGACTTTCTGCAAACCGTGATAATTATTTTATAATTTCAAAACTTCAGTTTTGAAAAGTGTTATTTTGAAAAACCACATGGAAAACCACAAGGGTAGTACCTGATTGGTTTGAGTTTGACTCCAAAGATCAAAAGTACCAGTAGGTCACATGTTCAAAATAAAGGAGGAATAAGAATCCCCTTACGGACACGGAGGTTCAAATGCGATGACTCCGAGCTATCTGCAAAATAGGTGGTTGTCCTGGAATTAGTCAGCTTCCATAGCGGGTTGAATATATGCAGGGTAATGAAAAAAAAACACATGGACCAAGTCCATGAGTTGGGTTGGATCGGGTCAGTATATGGGTCGAGTTTTTTTTGCAACCCGAGTCTCATAGTCTCGTGAAACCGAGGGACAGGATGGTAATTTGGCATGGACTAGGTTTCTTAAGTTCAGGTAAACCTTTGAAGGCTTTGTCGAACCCTAATTTCATTTCGGGAGTTCGAGTCCGGAGGCGCGGCATAAACCCTAGAGGAGGAGGAGGAGGATCGTCGGGCATCTGCAACCATGGGTAAGTTTCATCGATTACTCGATTTTCTTCCATTAATCTAATTCCTGCATCGTTACATTCATCTTCGGAATGTGAAGTTTTGAACAATCCGATGATGATTCGTTGTTATTGCAGGTATTTCTCGTGATTCTATGCACAAAAGACGTGCAACTGGAGGCAAGAAGAAGGCGTGGAGGAAGAAGCGAAAGTAATTTTCACGTTGAATCTATCGTTAGTTAGTTCGGTACATGATAATTAGGTTTTTTTTCGATTGCTTGATCTGTTTCGTGATTTCATCTATTTACTCATTTAATTTCGCAATGCATGTCTGAGCTAATCGTCTATTTGTTTCTTCTCTCTTATAATCGTTTTTTTTAATCTGTTCTGATTGTTCGTTTTAGTATCAACAATCACTAGATTCTTCATTGTTTCTTTTCAAACGAGATATTTTATGCATTTTATTTCAGACAGTTGTTCAGAACTACGTTTTACTTAACAGCATTTCTCGCGCTAAACTCTTGATCACTGAACTTTATAAAAGAAGTCCTGCATTTTTCCTAGTGATTTTCAGTTTGTAATAGAAACTTAAGATGACGATACATGGAAAAAATAGTAAACTTATTATATGTGAGAAGAGTTTAACTTCTTCAAAAACTCCTTATTACCGGTTTGACACCGGTATAAGTTGTTTATCTAAACACTCAAAATTGCTTGTTATCAGTGTCACACCGGAATAAGTCAATAAGTTGTTTTTATAAGCAATCCCAAACACTCCCTAATAAGTGAAAGTGATGGGGGAGAGAGAGAGAGAGAGAGAAGTGCTTGGATTTTGCAAAGTGCTATCATTTTATCATTACGAGGATAAGTAGGATGATGAGTTAGAATGATTCAATATTACTCTTCCCTTTTATTTCCTATCAGTTTTAAAGAATGGTTAAAAATCATCTAGTCTCTTAAGAGTGTGTTTGGTGACTGGAATAGGAAATGATAGCATTGGACTGAACAAAAACTTTTCGTACTACATTTGGGTGTGACTTTTAGCTTTGGACTTGGTTGGACAAACATTCATTTTTTGGTCCCACCAAAATAATGAAACTGGGAGGTTCGACTAGATTGGTAAGTTACTAAACTATTCATATCAAATTAAAACCCTAGAACGTTGCACAATTCTTTTACCCACTTACCTCACTTTTGCTCGTCGAGTCTTGTCTGTCCAAACACCCTAAGGATCTTGTGTTAAACTGAACTGATTTTGTATGGACCGCTTGATTAGGATGTTCAGATGGATTTTTTTATCGAGTAGGAAGTTTAAATGAATTTTGTTTGTAAATGCCAAATTTTGTTTGTTACACGTTGTATAATCTTTTTCTCTGTAGCAAGCCTAATAGTGGCATTATTCTTTTCCATTAAGGTATGAGCTCGGAAGACAGCCTGCCAACACAAAGATCTCCAGCAACAAGACTGTTAGGAGGGTGAGAGTTCGTGGTGGTAATGTGAAGTGGCGTGCCTTGAGGTTGGATACCGGTAACTACTCGTGGGGAAGTGAGGCAGTGACACGAAAGACTCGTATTTTGGATGTGGTTTACAATGCATCCAACAATGAGTTGGTCAGGACCCAGACCCTGGTGAAGAGTGCAATCGTTCAGGTTGATGCTGCACCATTTAAGCAATGGTATCTTCAGCACTATGGTGTTGACATTGGTCGCAAGAAGAAAGTAGCTGCTTCTGTGGCCAAAAAAGAGGGAGAGGTATGTTTATGCATTTTGCATCTAGTATACATCTCTGTCTCACAAGTGTCCACGATGCTATATTAGCGGCTGTCTACTAGATGCTTATAGCCTCTTATTGGGTAAGTGGTGCTTACCTGGTAAGAGATAATGTTGGTTACCAACACCCTCTGACTAACAAATATTGTTGACTGAGATGCTGACCCAGTAAGATTGGAGACGCTTACTTAGGGGCCATTTACCAAACACTTATCAGATAAGGTTCTTGGGAATTGATAAGATAAGTGATATCTATAAGCGCTTACCCGGTACGCATTTAGTAAAGGTCCCCTTACCTGTTTGGATTCCAATTTTTTTGGTAAATAATCCTTTAGTTTGTCCTGGAGTAAGTGTCTATGATTCTATTCTAGTTCATCCTGATTTTTTGAAGTTTCTATTTTCTTATTCTACTTTAAATTATTTAGGGTAAAATTGTCATTTAGCTATGTAAGAAGTGTAATAAGTACACATTAATAAAATTGTGTCTTTCTCATTGTGGACATATTTTTTGGGACGAAGGGAGTAGTTAAATGTCTGATGATTAATTGGGTTAGAAACGGTCTAATGTGGCTGACATCTTTGTTATTGTGTGTTCTAATGGGATTCATAGGAAGCAGAAGGTGCAACCGAGGAGGCCAAGAAAAGTAATCATGTTGTGAGGAAACTTGAGAAACGACAAGAGGAGCGCAAACTTGACCCACATGTTGAAGAACAATTCTCCGGTGGACGTCTTTTAGCAGCAATCTCATCACGCCCTGGCCAGTGTGGTCGTGCTGATGGGTATGTGAATTTATCCACTCATTTTTTTTTCATTCGTGACCATCCTGCATTTTTTTTTACCTTGTAGCAAAGCAGGTTGGAAGTGGACTAGACTCGACCTTAATGTAATTTGAAAAAAACATGGAACAAAAGACCAAACCTGTTTAAACCAATTTGTTACCTCATGACTTTGAACTAGATTACATATTTGGGTTTGGTTTACTTTTGAAAACAAATCCTAAAAGAGTGTATTTTTTAGTTTAAAGTTCGTTTACAGCTGGTGCGGTTCTATTATTGAACGAGATCAAACCAAAGTAGCAACTTTTAAATACAGTTAGTGAGAACTGAAGCTGCTTTGATATTTTGGTTTTGTGGGTTATGGACATAACTTGTAGAGTAAAAGGCAGACAACATAGCGTCAGTAGCTTCAGAAAGATATTGTAGATGCTGTGAAGACATAATTCTCTCCTTTGGTTTGTTTAATGATCTGAGATGATGTTTTTGGCAGATACATATTGGAAGGCAAAGAGCTTGAATTCTACATGAAGAAGCTTCAAAAGAAGAAAGGAAAGGGTGCTGCTGCTTAAATCTCTTTTTATAGATTTGTATCTCTTTTTTCTATTAATTTTTTTTGTTGAGGGAGGATATTTTGTTGAGCTTTCTTAGTTAACATCGACTTTTATGAATATCGGTAGATGTTTGGTGAACTGCTGCTTACATTTTTGCATGATTGATATGAAGTTTAGCATTAAGAACGATATAATTTGGTTTGAAATTTTGTTTGTTAGATATTTCGACATTTATTATGTCCAGTCATTGGAGGTTCGTGGACCATGACTTAATGACATCTAAATTTAAGCTGTTGTTTATTTAACACTTTGCTTATTGAATAAACTGTTGCATAAGATGTTTTAATGAACTAATATCTTACCTAATTTATGCTATGGGGGTGTTTGAGATTGTTTATTTGAAACACCTTATGTTTTTTATAAAAGCACTTATAAATTTATTATAAATCAAAAGAGTTTAACTTATTCAAAAACTTCTTATTACCGGTTTGGTACCGGTATAAGTTATTTATCCAAACACTCAAAAGTGCTTATTACCGATGTAACATCGGAATAAGTCAATAAGTTGTTTTTATAAGCAATTCCAAACATCTCTTATATTATAAAGTATTTGATAAATACTCTTAAAAACCATTTTTTTTGTATAAAATACTGTTTATTGATGTTTATTACTTAAAATTCGAGGTTACAAGTAAATTGTACGTAAATACAACTTATTAAAATTTCATGTTTGAATTCGTGTAACTAACTGCAGATAAAGATAATCAACTACAAAATAAACATTTCATTTTAAATATAAAAAATCTAAAATATAATTAGGATAATCATTGAGTTACACTTATAACAGAATATTTAATTATTATCCTTATAAAAGTTATATTATTAAACCAAAAATAATACACTTCGTTATTAAACTCAAATTAAACTACAATAAAAATTTGAATTAAAGAAATTACATAAAGAACGCAAATTTTTAAATTGTTAATTTAATGTTAATATCGATATATTTTTTTCAAATTTTTATGAATATAAATATTATCGCTTTTTCAAAATCACATAAAACCTTATTATATCGACAGAGACAAAAAATAAAACGAAACATTATCTCGATGTATTTCGCTGCGTTACGCGAGTATCCTTCTAGTAAAGTTAAATGAAAGTGTTAGACTTCTATCGGATAACTGTTGGATAAACGGTCCCTAAGTTTTCTATACGTTATCATATAAGTTTATTTCAAAAATTTCAAGCTTAAACGTATAATTCAAAATGTATTTTTAGTACTAAATTTAAAAAATGAGAAAATATAAAAATATGTATAATATTTTTGGATAGTAAAAGATTTATCAAAGAAGGTAAGCGGGATTGGGAGTTGGGACTGGTAATGGGTCTAGATTGGCTTTAGGATTTTTGGTGAAGACAAGAACCAACCAGTTTTTAGTGAGCTAAAAAGGCCTGTGATTTGGATTTATTATGGTTAGGGACTTTTTGGGCCATATCAGGTTTGAGTTTTTTTGTATTTTCTATTTGGGGTGCTTAATTATTTGGTATGATATAATATAATTACCTATTGCCGCATAAAAAGGGGTCATTCCGATAAAATTGGGGAGGGCAAAGAATTAAGTAACACATCTTCGAACCCTTCCGCTTTTGAAGTTTTTGTACCCTCCTCGGTGAACCACCTCAAAGCTGATGCTCACCCATGGCTTCACCGCCTCCCAATGACCATTCTTTTTTTTTTTTATTAACCTGGATATCCAACCAGTTATGCGAGTCGACTAATTCCAGGACGACCAACTGCTTTGCGGATAGTCCGGAGTCACCGCATTTGAACCTCCGTGGCCACAAGGGAATTTTTATTCCTCTTTGGATTTGAACCTGAGACCTTCTGGTACTTTTGACCTTTGGAGCTAAGCTCAAACCAATCAGGCACCACCCTTGTGGTTGACCATTCTCTTATTCATTACTATCAATCAAACATCATCAATATAATAACTCATCTACCTGAACTTAAACGGAAAAAATTGTGCATCAAGAACAGTAGCGGTGTAGTTTTTTTATTTCTTAAATACACTTGAATAGGATATAAAATGAATTGATTTGACAAATAATCAAACTTGTTCCGTCAAAAAATTATATATAAACTGACCGAACTAGACGAATTCAGCAAATCCATAACAATAGGGTTTACACAGACCTGACCTTTACTCCAAGCAGTTTTGTTTCCCACATGAGAAGAAAAATGTGAGAAAAGAGAAGCATGAGGTTGAAAAGAACCTGCCAAATACATCACTCATTCTTGTGTATATTGAATAAAAAGTTAGATATATAAACATATTAAAAGATAAAATATGTTTTTTTAAAGGTTGATCCTAAGCTTCATTCGAACTAATCTCATGAAAATTCATGTATAGGCTTCGTTCATAGCCCTAAATTAAATCTCCGAGTAGCCACAAACACCTAAATAAATGACAGTATTCGAACCTGAGTTGATTTTTATCATCTCAATGTCTTTATCTGTCACGCTATACATCTTATGGTTAAGATCAAGTATGTTACTGAATAAATAACTAAATTGAATTGAATGTTAGTTTGTAATCTTACTTTGACCAGACCAACCCAACCAACTGCTTCTTGCTCTCCATATAAAAAGAATGGCAGGCAGGATCAACATTCAACAAATTTGAACCATCTTAAACTGGCAGTAGCTCCGATTTGAGATTTTAGAGCTATCTTCAGATTCTCTAAAAAATTTCAAAATAAAGAATCAAAATTCAAATTTAAAAAAGAAAAGATTACCTTAAACTCAGATAAATTTTTTTATTTTGCAGAATACAAAACTGATTATATATTAAAATATTCTATCCATTTAATAAACATTTAATTTCAAAGTTTTTTATTGATGAAAATATAATTAAAAAATTATTTTTCTGTTACCGTAATCATTTTTTAGAGTTCTCCCAATTTTGATAACTTTACACACTTTCTACATTCTCTATTTTAGAGAGATCTTAGGATAATGTGGGAGCAAATTTTTTTACCTAAAATCCCCAAACCCCATCTCCGTTTTTACTGATTATAGATTCTTCAAAATTCCCTACAATGGAGAAATAAAAGTCAAAATCTCCAAAAAAATGGCATTCAACTCCAACAGTTTCTCCATTTTGGATATTACAACATTAATTATATTTCAATAAAAATAGTAAAATATTTTTTTTTCTCCTAAGCATCTAATTTCAAGAATTTTCATTGGTGAAAAGAATAAAAATCATTTCTCTTTTCAAGTAATCATTTTTGGAGAGTTATCTATAGTGGGAGAATTTCACCCTCTCTTCCCTGTTTCTCTATTTGGAATAAGGTTATGAAAAATCTGTTGGATCAAAAAAATAGTCGAAATCTCCATTTCGAAGGATTTGTTGGAGAAGAGAAAGATGGTGAAAGTAGAGGGTACAAAAGTAAAAACTTACAGAGTGATTGTTCAGCATCCCAGATTTGCCAAAATGTTGCTGACTTTATCTATCACTTCTGATGGAACAGCATAAGCTTCTCTCAGATGCATTGGGTGATACTTGATGCCTTTCCATTTAGAAATAAGTGCATAATGAGGCCTCATAAATTCAACCCCGATTAGTTCCACAATTTCTGCTTCTTGTGTTGCTGAAACTATGTGTGTAAGTCCTGCTCCATGAGCACCCATGATAATTGAAGCCTCTTCAATGGCTCTTAATTGCTCTTTCATAGGCATATGTGCCAAAATTCCATTAATCACGTTAACTTTGCACTTTGAATGACTACTTGCCCACTTCTTTAATCCATCAAACACTTCCTGCTCGTTTTCGAGCCGCGGTTGAACCGTTCCGCCATGGCGCGGATGCGCTAAATAACCCTCGCGTCGGATGAAGAGGATGTTATGGTGGTTTGAGGTGGGGTGGGGTTTGTTTAAAGGAAGGCCGAAAGCGGCTTTTATCATGTCCCCAAATTCTGAGATTCTTGCTGTTATAGGTTCGTTGGGGTTTTGTAACACTTCGTGGGCGGATCCTCCACGACAATCTAGGTCTTCGAAAAGACCCCTGGATAGGACGGTTTCGTATCCTAAAGGTGGTAGGATAGCGTGACGGAAGCAAACAGGACCGCTGAAATGTTTAGCGTATCTTAGACTTGAGAACATGGCTTTCCAAGTGTCATCCAAGGGTGTCTGAAGCATCACCATAAAGAAAGATCAAGACTTGATTTTTAACATCATAATCAAACTATCCCAAGCAGAGGCGGACCTAGAAGAATTTTTCCTGAGTGATGGCACCATTTGACTATAAAGAAAAAAGATATGGATATCTTTCACAAAATCATTTTGCATAATTTTTAGAACCATAATAAATCTGCAATTACAAGCTAAAAACTAAGAAAAATGACACCAACGAGAATCAAACCAGGGTCTGGGGTGCAAAAACAGCCATGAAAATCAACTCTACCAAAAGAAACCTCTGTCATAATTGTAGTTTCAAAATATATATGGTTGCAAAGAACAAAATGATACGGTACTGGTGGCACCTTTCACGACCCTATAATTTTTTACACTATGATGGAGGAATGAAATGGTGGCCATGCCACCGTATACAATAGAGTGGGTCCTCCCTGAACCCAAGTAAATCTCACGAAAAGGTAGGATGTAGATCTTGCCTCTACCCCAATGGGTAGAGACTAGAGAAACTGTTTCAGTAAAGACACTCGACTTGTAAAACAAAATTTAAAAGAAACATGCAAGCGGCCTACAAATGATATCGTGCGAAAGCAAAGAGTCCAATATACATGAAAAATGTTAGGTACAAATGTAAGGAAATAGGTTAAACATACAAGGAAAGACAAATCCACTACCCAAATGAAATGGCAAAGCGAAACAAGTAGGCATATGCATTTAGTGGGAGGTTCAAATAAGAAGGCTAAATATCGTGAGAATGTAAGAAGGGAAGGTAAGTCCATTTGAAGATGCAAATGTGAACCCATATGAATAATATGTAATGTCGATTCACATATTCATCTTCAAATAGATTTTTTCCGGATATTTTCAAGATTCACATATAAACCTTCTTTTGTTACCTTATCACACTATTTAGCCTTCTTATTTGAACCGACCCCTATGCATTTAACTATAAGAGATCCTTAACAAACACATAAAGAATTTTGCTTTAAAGCAAAGAGACATTATACATTATTTTGCCGTTCATTCCTCAACATCAAGTTTTCCTCCTTCTAAATATTTCTACTAGTACACTGAGTGCAAAGTGATGGTACTGACCGATGTATTATCCTCTATATCACTCCATGATTTCAACCAAACATTTTGGAAGGCAAATAATTTCTAGAAGCCAAACAATCTTAGTTTCATGTAAGAACCAAGAAATGTACACTGGTCATTTACTGATAGACTTGATCAACTCTTGTTGGGTATCATTTACTCAACTTCTACAATACCTTTAAGCCTACTTAGCTACCCAATCTAGAGGTCAAGGGTTCAAACCTCACCAAAGGTGAGAAGTGTGCATGAGTATTTGCCGTATATAAATATTATATACTTCAAAAAACATAACGTATTGTGTTGGAATTAGTAAATAAGAACATTAAGAAGTAAAGAAAACATGACGGATAATCTACCAGCTAAGAAGCATACCAAGCAATGGCCATCTATAAAAACTAGCCGAGGTCGAATTGGCAAGCCAGTTACTCTGGAAGATACATAGGCACTGTACCAGTCTGTAACAGTGTGGAAAAGGTTTGCATACTCGAAGCGAGTCACCAAAAGTGTTGGTTCCTCAATCCACTACCACAACAGAGTTTCGTATCAGTACTTGATGTTATAGGTAAAAAGAAAATATCACGGTAAGCGTCAAAACAGATATATGAGACAAGCAAGAAAACACGCAGGTTTTTGACGACTCAACTCTTCCACATATTTCATTAGATTGTGGACAGAATGATTGCTACCTTTTTTGGTCATTTCTATTCGGGTACACTTCAACTCCAACAATGAGCTGCATACTTCATATATACCTACATTATATGCTTCATAACACCATTTGTGATCAAGTGTCATAGGTGAAAGTTCCAACAGTTCAAAAGTGTTCAAACACGGACCCTAGATTCTGAATATCTTCCGATTTAATTAATTTAAAGCAACGCATGATGCATAAGTTTGCAGTAACTCTGCTCCTTCAAAGTTCAATTAAGAGCTTCTTTGGGTGATCTTGTTATATGATACAAGGCATATGCACCCAATATTCTGGTATCTTTTTTCCCCTACAATTTATGCACTATAGTAGTTATTCATTGAAAACAATACTAATTTCACTTGTTTTTAGGTTAGACTTCTGGACTCAAATGGATCTAAGTTGATCTCTAAGAGAAAMATGATAATACTGTATATTTAAACCATATAACATTTTCATTTTTTGTATTTCATTTAGGATGTGAGGAGAAAATGAGGCTCTGTTTGTAGGGCTCAAAGTATGGGAATACGAAAGGAAATTGGTACAGACAAAAGGAACAAATAATTTCAGTGCATTAATGATGAGTGCTAAATCTCAATAAAATGAAAATAAGAGCATATTTTACTAATCACTAGGCATGGATATGATATGTACTTCGAAGAATTACCGATACGGGAAGGTTATCACCATTCTTCATATGTATAATGTTGTGTGAAAGAATCCCTTAAATTAATTAATTTCCTGTAATCAGTTCATGATCCTGAGGAAGATTATAATCACTATGAAGATCACCATCAATGCATTGAATTTTGCTTCATTTAAGGCAACTAATTAATGATCTAAAGTTCATTAGTTAACGAGTTCAGTGGAATCTCAATCGCAACAAAAATGGAAAACCTAACCTCAGAGCATTTAAATTCATTGGCGCCAACCAACTGCATGGAATCGATCAACTCACGAACGGTATGCCTCGGAACCGATCCTTTCTTCAAATACTGGTCCAAAAAACTCCCATCCACAAGCTTCTTACGACTATTCAGCTTCTCATCAACCTCCAAATCAAAAGCTCCGAATTCAAACTTCGGCAACTCATCGTCCTCTTTCCTACCAATCACGCTCTCCAATTCCTCGCCACCGACCGACATCTTAACCTTCTCCGGATGCATCCGTATCCTCCCGCCCTCACAGACAGAGCTCTCCAATGTCGAACTATAGAAACACCTAAACCATCCTCCTCCGCCTCTCAATTTCGGCTTCAGAAGATCCACGCGACGACTGAATCCATTACCAAAATACGCTTCGCAAGATCTGTAAGTGATGTTGTTAGGTGACAAAGGCCATGGGAGGTATGAAGGAGAGATCGGCCATGGCTTATTGACGAAGTTATATAATGGGACATCATTGGCGCGGTCATGAAACGGCGAGTTGTGGTAAACCGTCAACGATATATTGACGTTTTCAGGCAGAGAATGGCTACGGAGACGGTGGTGGAAGTAATCGAAGTTAGAAGACAAGTAGTGATAGAGAGTGATTGAATTGAGAACGAACAGAGAGACAAGAATGTAAAGGGTTTTCGTCTTCATTTTCAGTTACATTCTCGTACAACCACCCTAACCAACTCACCATAAAAAAAAACAAATAAGAGTGTCATGGAATTGCTTATAAAAACTGTTTTTTATTTTATATCAATCTGATATTAATGATAAGTTGTTTTCTGGTGTTTGGATAAGAAAAAAAATTGCTTATACCGGTGTCAAACCGGTAATAAGCTGTTTTTTATAAGTTAATCCTTCCTGACTTATGAAAAACTGTTTAATACTAGTTTACAATTTTAACCTTGTTTTATTTAACTCCGGTTTGATACCACTTAAGTTAATAAACATTTTTACAAAAAAACATAAGTTGTTTTAAACAAGCAATCTCAAACACCCCCTAAATCTATAAAATACTACTATTTTTTTCTTATACAGGTTCTTGTTAACAATAACCTAATAAAATAATATAAAAATGGTCGAATCATATGTGATTTTACATAAAAATGATATGTAAAAATCACATATGATTAAGTCGTGTGCCATGTACGTTCGTACACCCTCTTACTAAAATATGGCGAAAGCTATACTGAAAAATGGTTCATATGGACGTACGGGTTCACATAGTATAAGTAAAATATCAAAAGGGGTTATTCTTATTCAAGCAAGATTCAAAAAATCACCTTTTATACTAATGGTCTGGGTGTGATAGGGACATCACCCGCAATTTTAGGTCGTGACCAAAGTCGTGAATCGTATATGATTTTATGTGTGAGTTTAATGTAAAATCACGTGTTACTCGACCGTTTTTATATTCTCTTATTTAGAGGAAGCAATTTTGTACCAAACCAACCAACATGTATACCAACCGTACCAGTTAAATTGGTACCGATTGTTGTCGGTTGGTAGTGTCATTCCAAGAATGCAAACTTGGTTGGTACACGGTATTGACTTTTTTTAATTAGTTTTTTGTATTTTTATATTTTTGATATTTTAAACTTGGTAACTTTAATCATTTTATTTCAACATTTAAATGTTTGCAAGTTTTATTCTTTACAATTAGAACTCGTTAAATATCAAATGCGTACCTAAAAACTCAAAATTTTACTTAAATTTTGAGAAAAATTGGCAAGTTTCCATATGCAACATGGAGGTGATATGGTACAGAACAGGTACCCACGTGTACTAACCGGAAAGAGTTGGTACCAATTAGTTGGTACCAAATACAATTGGTTGGTACACGGTATAAGATTTTACATACCAACTGTAATTGGTTGATACATGATACGGAGAAAAACACTTGGTACCATACTAAGGGGCCGTTTACCCAAATACTTACCCGGTAAGCACTTATTGGTAGGAGTCTAACACTATAATCTTTTTACCAGATAAGATTGTAGTATATTAAAACAGTATCGTATGCAATAATTTACCCGGTAAACGCTTACCTGGATAAGAGTCCTCACCATCACTTACCGGGTAAGACCCTCCATTCTTATCATCGCTCTTACCGGATAAGATTTTTACCCCTTGCCATGTTCATCAGGTAAGGAAAATTGTCCAGTAAGTACTTACCGGGTAAGCGTTTAATAAACAACCTAAGTCCACCCGTACTCTTATTTAGCTATTGTTCTCACTGAAGATTAACATCTATCTTTAAAACAAAAGTGTTGCAAAACAAGATGGCCCAAAACGTGATAATGAAACAATGAAGGGAATTAATAGTTAAAATTACATGTGTTCTTCACCCACAATCGATGTTTGTTCTCAAAATTACATACCAGGAACAAATTAATACTTACAACATACTAAATCGTAGAAGCCGATTCACGATAGCCGAGAATGCCGTCACAACAACACTCTTTATAAATAATCTAAACTATGTGATCGCCGCCAACGTCGGAGATACAACGGATTGGAGACGAATCGATCACAAAAAGGGGTCGAATTTGCTAGTTTTAAAGCATGAGAAAGGTAGCGACGATGATGGCCAAAGAAGAAAGCAGAATCCACACGGTGGCTTTAGGTGGTTGACCGCTTGGTGAGGCTGACGGCGGTGATGTTGACGTGTTACTAGCGGCGGGTGGTGGTGGCTTTACGGCGGGAGGGATTGGTGCATCAGCTACGTCAGCCTCGGTCAGGATTGGGTTGGGAGCCTCGGCTGGTGGCATCGACTGGGGTGACATGAGTGTCAGTAACTGGCCAGGGAAAGCGGGGATCATGTATGGTGGGGTCTGATCTGGTGGTAATCCTAAACACCGGTTACCTGCATTTTTTCCAAAAATAAGTATCGAATCAAAAATCAAACAGAACAAACCAGTATATCTCATTCGAAAGTAGGATCTCACTAAAGGGTCGTTGGTCCAACTGTACTCGGGTTACTGTGGAGCCCAGTGTCTCAAGGAAGTTAAAAGGTGCGTTTCGTACACTGTACAAAATAGAACAGAGGGTTGGGTTCCGGTGAGAACGAGAGTTAAGGTGAGAATCGTAAGAAGAGATTTCCACCCTTGGATGCACATTAGGATAAGATGCACCGAGATGAGATGCACCACATTAATCCCCATATACAAGCGCAATCCATGGGTGGGTTTGAGATTAAAGGTGATCAAGGGTCCAAATTCCTTCTTACGCTTCTCAGCTTAACTTTTCTTCTCACACAATCCTTCTCCATAGAACAGAACAGGGTTATCCCTGTTCCACATTTGGCAGGGCTTTTATGTGGAACAGACCTATGTTTTACCGATATAATCTCAAAATAAAACCTAATTCTTTTCTAAAACATTAAATACATCTTCCTATTTACATTTTATTTATTGCATTTTAGTGTTCATTTTCTTCTTGCTCATATATTTGTCGTTACTATTGTGACTCTGACTCCCTCCTTTTTCTGCAATAAGCTCCCCCTAAAAGCTTACTGAATAAGCCATTTTCTATATCATTAAGCACTACCAAATAGTCATGTATAGCTGACCAAATAAGCCGAGTCCCATTAAGCTTATTAAGCTGCTAACAAACAGGTTTACGAGTTCATTGATAGAAAAACTTACTTCTGTATTTGGATGCAGCAGCTGGATAATCCGTAATAACACCATTGACATTAGCTCCTGTAACGTATGAGTTTATTTCGACATACGGGTCTGAAAAGAAATCCCATGGTTGTGAAACGAACTCGTTGTTCATCATGTGTACATAAACCGGGAGCTTAAATGCCTGAAGCTTGGCCACAACATCAGTTTGACCAAGAAGAAATCCTGCATTCCGAGGGAAGACAGATTGCTTGCCAATGACAACGGAATTAGCAATCTTACTGATATCCGAGATGGTTGTGTTTAGGGCACCGCGAATATTCTCGTCAACCTCATAAACAAGCTCATGTCTGTTGCTTTTCGCCTTGAATAATTTCAGAACCCCGCCATCGGGAGATTGGATTAAGATTTTCTTGGTCCTCTGATTTTTTAAAGTAGAATTGTTCAATACATCCATAACAGCATCTGCAACACTTAATCCTTGTTTTGCTGCTAGGTATGGCGCATTCTGGAGGTTAAAGAACCAAAATAGTATCAGTTCCATTTTTGGTGTTATGCAAACACATTCGACAATAAAGAAAAAGCTACTGTAAGTTGACCATTGCATGGTCTAATTTGCAAGAAACTAGTTAACTGGGACCTAAAATAAATGCCCATCTGGTTCGTATTGTTATAAAACTAGTTATGTACATGTGCAATGCAATGGGATGCAAGATTATATAGTAAACCGATAGTGGAAAATTGGTGTAATTTCTCATAAAAAAAAATTTCCAAAATTTATGAGCGAATAAATAGAAATTACAAGTAGTGGTTGAATATGTATTCTAACTTGAAGAAGTGATAAAAAAAACCCATGATATATAGGGTCAGGTTCAGAGGAAAACCGTAAAAAATTACAAACTGAGGAACACCCTGGTAACCGTTCATCTGGATACAAGTAATTCTTAAGCAATTTGTTCAGTATGCATATGTGCATAACATGTTCAAACTTGCACAAAAACCAAGATCAACCTCAATTACTTGTATGCACATATGGATATCGTGTACATGAATGGTTATCAATGTGTTCACTCAGTTTTTCATTTTTTGGTGGGTTTTCACTGAACCTCCCCCCATTCTCTCTCTCTCTCTCTCTCTCTCTCTCTTCTCTCTCTCTCTCTCTCTTCTCTCTCTCTCTCTTCTCTCTCTCTCTCTCTATATATATATATATATTAAAGATTTAAAATTCTCATTTTTTATATATTTTGTTTAATTAAAAAAAATTATAATCTTTTAGATTTAAAAATAAAGATTTAATTTATTTTAGTTTTAAATTTGGAGTATTTGTTTATGGATAAAAATAATGATGGGAATCTTTTTGTAGATAAAGATAATGGAGTATACTATCATATTAGTAGGACTCAATGATCATCGTGTATTTAAAGGTGTATATCAGTTGGTTGTTAGTTGTATGGAGTTCAACAAGCTTTAAAAAGTTGTACATATGCAATGATTACTAATTACTTGTAAATTTGAAATTTAAGAAGTTTTTCGTTAGTAAGCAATACCTAATGCTTAGTAAGTTGTCCTTAAGGCTTTTACCTAAGTGCTTTATAATATTGTATAGATAAAAATATTTGAAAGCGGAAAGTTTTGTCGTGTAAGCATATTTTTTTAATTCATTTACACTTGATTTTATAAGAATTTGCATAACAATTCTAATGGAAGGTTATTTCATTTTAGATTGTCCTTTAACATGGTCAACAAGTCTGTCGGTTGAATGACCTTCTCAAAATTTTCTTTTAAATCCATGACCTTCTGACATGTTTTAGCATGCCACTTCCATACATCAGAATGCCACAAAACTTGTCAGAAGGTTATGTTGTTAATAAAAATCTCATTTAAGGTCAATGGCCTAAATAGTCCACAACCCAATAACTGGATAAAAGTTTTTTAAAACTTTATCTAAGTAATTGCCTTCAGCATAAAATATACACTGTGATACTTATGGGCCGTTTACCAAACGCTTACCTGGTAAGCGCTTACCTGCAAGCGTCACAACTCTCATTTACCTTATGAGGTAATGTTGGAGTCCCAAATCGGCTAGACTTGGACCACTTCTCCGTATATATGTTGGATCCTCCCCTTTCTCCTCAAGGACTCTTTTGGAGAGTGATTAAGGGTTCCACATACTCTCACATGGTATCAAAGCCAAGTCCGCCACTGTAGGGACCTGACATTCTGGGACGATATGTGTCCATTTAGCCTCCATTGGAGGGGGCGTGTTGAAGTCCCACATCGCTAGACTTGGACCATTTTTCCATGTATATGTTGGAACCTCCCCTTTCTCCTCAAGGACTCTTTTGGAAAGTAATCTGGGGGTTCCACATGTTCTCATAGGTAACACTCCCGGCCATCAAATTGGATTGATGGTAAGCGTTTATAGCCCGGTAAGTGCTTACTGGGTTAGAGCATCACCCTCACTTACTAGGTAAGAGTCATCACTCTCACCGGGTAAGACTCTTGATCATGGTCTTCCCTCTAACCGGGTAAGATTCTTGATCCTTGTCATGCTCACCCGGTCAGGTAATTGAACCGATAAGTGCTTAGTAAAAGGCCCCTTAATTAGGAAAAGAAATAATCAGATGCACAAAAGGACCTGGAAGAGCATAGACTCACCTTAATGTTGATCAAGACACCAGAAATAGAAGTAGCATTGCTTGCAAAGTCCAGAAAGTCGGACAAGCTCATAAACTTCCCATCATTTTTGGCTTTTGGATTCCGAAACAAAGTGTAGTTCTTAAATGTGTTGAACATTGCAGCTAGAAAAGAAAATCAAACAGAGAGATCAGTATAAGAAATTGTTGAAAGTTACATTTTAAACCCCTCAAGTTCTGATGATTGAGAAGCGAGCCAGCATAATTTTAACGGTGTAAATTCAAAGTACAGGTTAGTCTTCAAGAGAATATCTACAATGAAAATCTTCAAATGATTAGAAGCCGCCTCGGACACTTGTGAAGTGTCAAAATATGCTCCGGAATCCAGAGGAGAGGAATAAGTATTTATTAAGCCAAGTGATCAATTTTATCTTTTCTTTTGGAAGGGTGTCTATGGCTATGCCCAAACTAATCTCGGCAAATTGTGACTGCAAGACATCAGCCTTGATAAACTCACCTGCTCACAATTGTTTTGGACGCCTGGAATTGAACTCAGGGTAGATGGGATATTCCACCACATCCCCCTGGGCCTCAACCACTACGCCACAACCCTTATGGTTCAATTTTGTCTTATTGACTATTTAAAATGAAAATACCTTTTAAATGAAGTTTTGAAATGAAAAGAAGTAAGAATTGTGAATCATTTGGTTTCAGATGAAAAGGTCAAACAGTTGGGATGTCCAGGCTTTCCGCAAATGTTGCAACGGTAAATGACCTGCTTTAATAGCAAGTGCATTGAATGCCTCTTACTATTATGACCTTAAAAATGTCCACCAAGGGTCCATGGAAAGTTAGGTTGTCCAACAAGGCAATAACAATGAAATTCACAAACATCTGGTATAATACAACATTCTGCAAATTGATAAGAAAAGTCTCTCAGACATAATGGACAAGCTTGTGATTAGTCGAAACTAAACTGTTTTCTGCTCATAAGTGCTGCTTTTGTCCAAGAGTCTTTGAATTAGGAGGAAAGTAGTGTGCAAAGCCCTATACCGGAGTTTGTGGAAATTTTTTGAGTCATTCAAGGTGCGTTTGGTACACTAGAGTGGACTGGACAGGACAGAGACCACCGTTCCACGTTTGGCAGGACTTTTACATGGGATGTGGAACAGACAGGAACATAGTGGAACATGCGTGTTCCACCCCACCCCATGGAACAAGATGGAACGTACTCATGCTTCATCAATATAAGCTCAAAATAAAACTTAATTCTCTTTTAAAACATCAAATACGTCTTCCTCTTTACATTTTATTCATTCTTTAAATTTTATTTATTGTATTTTATGCTCTTTGAGCTTTCACTTTGTTGTCCTCAAAATATTATTTTCGTACAATTTCTATATTTTGATTAATTTATGTAATTTATTAAAATATTAATAATATAGAAAATGTATAAGATAAAAATACATGAACTTTTTATTTTGGTGTCAATTTAATCGTCTTGACGAAAACTTCTAATGATATATTTTGTTATAAAAAATATTTATTTTATTATAATTAATAAATCACATCAATTAATCAAAATATATAAACAACCCATTAGGGGTAAATTGATAATTTTATTTGTTCTATCTTGTCCAATTCTATCTTACCAAACGTTGAATAGTTGTTCTGTCCTGTCTGGATACCAAACGCACCCTTAAGGGCAAACATCCAAAATTCGGTGCATTAAGCACGTCCTTTTTAGTATATGGATCGCACAGAAGTGGCGAGCAGATTACTTACGTCTCAAGCTCTGAATCTGGCTCCATGTGAGGCTGAAGGTATATATTGCTGCACCAGTCGGCTGAAGTGTAGGAATGCTTGATGTAAGGTTGCTAAAATCAGAATCAGCGACTGTTGTTCTATCAAGAAGGTTTATAGAACCTAAGCAAATAGGTATCCCATCACTTGTCATTTGAACAGGACAGTCAATAATATCTGCACCATCAGAAACAGCTTTTCTATATGCCAGATCAGTACAACCAGGATAGTCCCCGCTTGATCCCTCGAATGAGATGATTAAAGGTGTTGCTGAAGCATGAACAAAGGATAAACTCTTGGTCAATTTAAATTTCAAGCAAGTGCAATAATGGAGTGTGCTTTAGTGGGTATTAAAGCACCGAAATAGCCATTTATGAACATCCAAATACAAGAACCACTTAGTGGCTGTTTGCTAAATGTTTACCGGGTAAGCGCTTACTGGCAAGAAACATCACCCTTATCGTGTAACATTCATGGCCATCAAAATGGATTGTTGGTAAGAGTCTTTTTCCTCACTTAATGGGTAAGACTCTCAATCCTTGCTATGCCTCTTACCAGGTAAAATTGTCGGTCCTTGCCAAGCTCAACCGGTAACAACGTAAGGTAAGTGATATCTATAAGCACTTACCCGGTAAGTGTTTAGTAAACGACCCTTAGTCAACTTGTTAAGAAAATACTGTTAAAAAGGACTGACCTTGCTGTGACTTATTTTTTCCCATGTGAGATAAGCAATCTGCAGGATTAAGACAATTAGAATCCAAAAAGGAATAAGAAAGGGATTTTCATATTTATGGGAAAATGAATGTTCATTCAACTGGAGTCATTACAAACTGTGAGATTGTTCTTTCAAACAAGATGCATAATAAATCTTTGGATTCCCAAAAGTAGTTCTGGGTACATACAGAGAAACATCACAAGAGCAATAAATTTGATGGAGGGTGTAATGTATTAACTTACCAAAAGCTAATGATGGAGTAATTGGGTTGTCAGAAAGCACACCGTCCACAGAGAATTTTCCGTTGTCAATGAAATTGAGATACTCTGCTACAGGATCATAACTGTAATTATACGGAAGTTGCACGTCATTCATAAAATCAGAAGCAAAAATTTCTAGACCCTCCTTGTGAGCGTCCAAGACCAATGAGGTAGATGGTTGCAGATATAAATCTCCCCCCACAGGCCATATATACGATTTAGGAACTAGAATCCCGGAAGCAAATGTCTTGATAAATGTCAGATTAGTCAGCAAAGAACCATATGTTTGATTGGATGATGGCTCGGTCTCGTCCTGTCCTAGGAAACGGAAAACTAGTTTGGTTTTGCTTGCTCTGAATCTGGTCACAATGCTTCTCAAGAAATTCACCTCTGGAGATGATATGTATTTAACAACAACTTTTCGAGATGTACTGATGACATAGTTTCTCATACTCAGATTGTGTTGGCTGAAAAATGCATCATGCTGCACAGGCATAAAGAGAATGATGGTTAGTAGCCAAATGTTACCAGTCACCTTCCTACATATAACGCGTAGTTCTAAATAACTCGTTATGGCACGCTATGGTGTCAAGGCTTGGGTTCGCTGCCACGTTAACCCCTGTGTCTCCACTCTAAGGCTTGGCTTCCATTTAACTCGTTATGGCACATTACGACACACGTTACAACGTGTTATTTTGGTGTGGGGTTTTTTTAATATATAACTCAGGGATAAATGATAATTACGTACGAGACCTAAGACTTGAATAAACATAAAAATGAAACTTAACAACTAAAAGCCTACATAGGTAAATACTTACTCTCATTCCCATAAACAAAGAGTCGAACACGAGTTCTTTGAAAATTGAAGAAAGTAGTGAGTTGAGATCAAAGAGATTTAATCCCGATTTTGCACCTTGATATTAAGCTCTACATATTTGGTATCAATGATTCTTCTTTCTTTTTAGTTTTAATACTTTATATGAGTTTAATTTGGTGTACGTTTTGTTCAAAACTATATATATATTGCCGCCTTAGGGAACACCTAGACAAACACCGTGGTCTAGCCATAACTTGTAAGGCTTGACCTCGCCACCATGCCACGCCTCAAGTCTCACGTCATTTAGAACCTTTATAAGGCAATCCACACACATGGAAATAGTTGCAGCTACATGCAGTTTATAACTTACAAACTACTAATCACCTGGATGTTCAACCACAGTCCAGGTGGTTTCACCTTCCCAGCAACATCTTCAACAGTAAGTATGTTGAAAGCGCCGTCAAAATCTGGACTTCGAGACAAGATGCCCTGTGTTACTGTTACAATACAAAGCGAAATGGTGACCAGTGGTAAGGTGTCATGACATTTTACATCGCCAACTAGGCAGACACTGAGCAACAGCATATATGTGTTAATAAAATCTTCCAAATGCATAAAAGTTTGAGAATAAATGAACAAAGACCACTAGAAATGTTATTTTGATGATGAGAACCTTCGGATGGAACATTGAGATGGGTTTAGTGGGTTAAATTTGATTTTGATATAATAGATAACATGGGACAATAGCCATATAGGGTCTTTAATAATAATTGGACCGTCACAAAGATTTAAAAAAATCTACAGTAATTCATTCAACACAAGAGTGGGGTAAAATGGTAATTTTATGGCATTCAGACTGTTGATAAAATAATCCATATGTAAAACCTGCAAAATAAAGAGCTTTAGTTAAGAAAATGTTCAAAGTTTATGTAAACGGAAAAATGGTTACGGTTGAACTAGGACCATCAACTCCAACTATCCTTATAGGCAAAAGCCAAGGGATTGTAGTAATTCTGTTTTTATACTCTTTAAAATGGCTTTTTGGTCTCCGCTTTTGGGGTGGGAGTGCTTGATCGCTGGGCTTTCCCGAACAGCCTTGTAGCCTTTCATTTTCGGCAGCTAAGGAGGCAGTCTTGATCAACCATCCTTGGTGACTTTATTTATCCTCCGTGGACCCATAATCGTTTTGCAAACTTCAGAACAGTTTCCAAACAATCATTTTCTATCTGACACTAAATCATACAGAACTCTTAACCATTCTAACCACTTAATCATCCAGTATCTTCCAAACAGCCCCTGAGACAGTGGCAAATGAAAGACCAGGAGTGTCCCATGGCTACTGAAATTTGATGTAGACATGTGTTGGGGATCTTCGGACGGCCATAAATATGATATTCTCTTTCTTCTCTTTATTAAATTATTTATCGATTCAGCTAAAGTTGATGCTTTTATATCAGAACTGCAACATAGATGGGTATCAATAGAAGGTCGCAGTTTGAGCTCAGAATTTGTACATGAAGTGTCAATTTAAGTTGAAGAGAATGTGGAGTTGTTGGCTTATAGGTTAAAACGCCTTAGCTCCTTTATAGTCAATAATTATTGTTCAATCCATCTCACTGAATCCACGAAGGGAAGATGCAATATATGTCCATTTCCAAATTAGAAAGCAAATTGAAATTAAATCCATTTTTCCTATTGTGCATTTTGTCTTAAAAAGATGAAAAAGAAAGAGAAAAGCAAAGGAATAATTGTAAGAAATGACTTAAGATTTTCCGTTATCAGAAAGGCAGGAACTGCTATAAAACAAGCACTTAGAGATTGACAGGATACCGAACGAGGTTTTACAGGCAAAGTTAGGAGTCATGCCTATCATAGATAACTTGAGGAAGGGAAGATTACGGTGGCTTGGGCACATTTGCAGGAGGCCATTGACGCCATGGTGAGGAGGGTGGAGAGATGACAGACGAGGGGGTGAGGAGGAGAGGCAGTTCTAGAAGGATGTGGGATGAGCAGCTGATACTGGATGTGGCAGCATTAGACCTTTCCGAGGACATGACTTCGAATATGAATATTTGGAGGCAAAGAACTACGGTAACAGTTTACTTGTGGGTACTGGGTACTAGTGGTTGTGGCAATTGGGGGAGGGGTGGAGGGGTAGAGGGATGAGCAGCTGATACTGGACGTGGCAGCGTTAGACCTTTCCGTGGACATGACTTCAAATATGAATATTTGGAGGCAAAGAACTAGGGTAACAGTTTACTTGTGGGTACTAGTAGTTGTTGCAATTGGGGGAGGGTAAAGGGGAGATGGGGAAGGGTTAGAGAGATAGTAGGTAGGTTAGTAGTGTCCTAGGATGGATAGAGGGGGGCACTTCGTTCGGTAGCATGTTACCTAGGACTTGGCATTTTGCTTCTGTTAAGCTGTTTTAGTTTTTCTTGCTTTCACCTTGGTCTTCTTTTCTCAATTCCTACGTTTTTATGCCTGTTTGTACACGCCCAATTATCTTTACTAAAACTGCTATTCAAAAATGTTTAAAACCCTTCAAAACTCTGAATTTCTTACAAACGTTATGCTTATATCTAAATGTTCCAAATCTGTTTTGCAGTCCAGTGGTCTTTAGGAAACAGCCTCTACTCCTAGGGGTAGAGGAAAGGTATGCATGCATGCTACCCTCGACCTCCCTAGACCCTATTCTAAGTGAGACATTCTGGGTATATTTGGTTTGGTGTTTAGGGGTGAGTGACGAAAAGCAAAATAAAGGTTGCATACTCAAGTCAATTTGACGAACTATGCTGTGATACATGTGTCAAATGCATGACACATGATAAATGAACTGATCCATCATATTATGCTCATGATAGATACTAATGAAGATCAAATAAAAGAAGTTCAACTTACAGAAGACTTTGTCTAGTTCGTCAATTGAGAAATCCACAGGAAACCATCCTGTCGTAGGCACCCCATTCACAGGGTAGGTATTCTTCCTCTTATCAAACACCGAAGAAATTGTGGTACCATTCTCAAGATTAAGATTTGGCACACAGATCCCAAAACTATCACTAGTTAATTGTACGTCACACCATAATATCATGTCAGGTACACCAGTCTGCAAAGCGAAAGTGTAGGCATTGTAACTGGAATCAGGAAATAACCCTGAAAACCCACCACGTGCAACAACTAAAGGAGGATCTCCTGCAAAAGTTTGGAGAGTGGATTTTAAGAACATGATATAAAAAGAGTTAAAAGTATGTAATCAAAAGCACTCATCATGAAGCAAACCTAAAGCATCATTATGATGCAAAACATGTAGATTGGTATATATATGAGGTATATGGACCTAAAATACGAATTTGAAATTCAAAAACAATCTAACAAGAAAAGGCCAATAGATACTGATGTCATGCAAGACAAGTAATCTAACCAACTGCCCAGAATGACATTTTCTTAGCTAATTGTTGCAGTGGTACCCATCGACAATTCTGGAATCTTTTACACAATACTTTTCTACATAAAGATGCATCAGCCCTAATAAACTCAGTGGCCGCAATTGTTGTGGACTCCTGGAATTGAACCCCGGGCAGATGAGATATTCTACCACATCCTCTTGAGCCTCCACCACTACGCCACAACCCTTGTGGGCCAAAGGCTTTTTGGTAACTATAGTCCCATCTAACTAAAGCATCAGCTCTTGATAGATGATGTACACAAAATATCTTAGAATAATTAATTTAATTTACAAATCATGATATCATATCCACGCTTCTTTCACAACTAACATACTTCAGGTGTCACCGAAAGCAAAATTTTGCTGGTGAAACCAATTATATTTAGTAATTCACTTCAGATATCTTACAATTAAAAACCTCAAACAATTAATTGGCTGTTAACGAACTCAAATAATCAAATTAACTTTTGATTACTGCATTAGCTGCATCTTAATCCCTCTAAATCTTATATGCATAGATCTCTCAGAAAGTAACAGATCACAAGTTCACAACTCATCAACAATTAAAAAAAATATGCTCCGTTCCACACTTGAACTCTAGAATTGAATTGAAATCTACATTCTCACTTCCACAATCCAAATTCCACCAAATTTTAAATAAATTTCTGAAGACAGAGATCGGCAAGTGAAAAGAATATACAAAAATGCTCCGTTCTACACTTGAACTCTATAACTGAATTGAAATCTACATTCTCACTTCCACAATCCAAATTCCTCCAAACTTTAAATAAATGTCTGAAGACAGAGATCGGCAAATGAAAAGAGTATACGAAAAAAGAGTAAAGGTAGTTGCTATATTAGTATATTACCATTTAAAGTTGGCCAAAGACTGGTTTTGCTACCAGATCCCTGAGCAGCGGCCAACGACAACGAGCAGATAAGCAGGCTCACTAGCCACCGGAGCTTCCACATTGCCGGAAACTCAACGCCGATTACTTGATTCTGGTAATCACGGTAAGATTTGAGATTTTCAAGGAAGAAGAAGATTCAACTTTTTTGCAGGTTTATTTATTGAGGGAAGATGTACGCAATGATATACACTATATTCTCCCACCTCATAGTGCTTAAACACGAAACTTTTTCATGGCGGCTTGGCTGTGTCGAGCCATCTAAGCTGTATGGCGGCTTCATTGAAATCAACAATAATTAGCTTTAATTGTTTATGAAAACCAATTCAATTATTATCCTGAAATCATTATAATTAGCATGTGTTTGACTCTTAGAAGTGTGAATTGAGTAAAATTTAGTTTTAAATTAAAAAGTAAATTATTTTAAATTTATTTTTTATACTTTTCTTTTTTCTTTTAATGAATAAGGGGTTGTTTACTTGCGGCTTAATTAGGCTTATTGGTTTATCTGACTTATTCGTACAGGTCATTTGGGTTGTTTACTTACAGCTTATTCATACAGAACATGGCTTAATCGCACAGATAGAAATGGTGTCTTGTCTCATTCAGCCACAAAAATGACACCCCTACCCCTTATTTAAAGCACCGCCTCCTTCTCATGTGAGACACCCCATCGTCGGCCTCTTTATGATTTTCTGTTTTGATGTTCAAATAATTAATATTTGGGGTAAATCGGTCATTTATGTTATTCAGCATGTTGGTTCGGATAAAAAAAGTAAACAACAACACTTATTTATCCAGACAGACAAACTTATACATATAATACCTAATAAAAATTTGGTAAATAGCCCCTAAGTAAGGATGGTGGTGCTTTAAAAAACGATATATTCAACCCGAAAAAACCTTAAAAAAACTTAAGGGTGCGTTTGGTGCGCAGACAGGACAGGACGGGACAGGACAGGACAGCTGTTCAGCGTTTGGTAAGACAGGACAGTACAGGACAGAACTGGTTAAAATGACCAATTTACCCCCCAGTGAGCTGTTTAGTGTTTTTTCACTACGAAATGCATTCTGGTAACACTAGTCCCTAATAAGTACTTCAAAATCAATGTAAACTCTCGAAATAAATCATAATACTTCATTAAAATCCCTAATAAGTACTTCAATTAATCAAGTTTCATAACTAACTAAGTTTTTCATCAATTCCTATTTTATCTAGTTTCATAAGCTATATTTCACACATCATCTGTGCATACAAACCAAGAAAACAGGATAATAGAGACAAAAGGTTTAAACAGGGCGTCCAAACAAGAAATTGCACAACCCTAATCTTTCCCCAATTAATAAATTGCATAAAACCCTATTTAATCCAGTTATCATAAACCTCATTTCAACATCGTTGAAATCAAGAAAACGGAAGAAACAAAAAAACTCACCGGAGTATCGAAGAACGATGGAGTGAAGATGGAAGTCGCTGCGTATTCGTTGCCCTAACGTTGATGGAAGCGACTCTGCGCCGAAATGGAGACCTAACCAGTGATAGAAGCAGCAGCGGTGGCCATCGGAAGAAGCAGCAGCGGTGGCCATCGGAAGAAGCAGCAGCGGTGGCCATCAGAAGAGAATCTGGTGGGAAGGGGCCGAAGAGAAGAGAAGCGTACCGTCGATGGTCGCCATCGATGGTCGCCGTCGATGGAGTTGATGAAGGAAGCGATGGAGGCGGATGAAAAGGGCAATGGAACTGGAAGCGAGGTGATGAGCCGGGTAGGGGAAGAAGGGTAATAAGGGAAAAAGTTTTGAGTTCCACTTAGTTCCAGGGGTAATGGTGGAACACGCGTGTCCCATGTTTGTCCAACTTAGTTTCACATTTAGCCACACCAAACGTAGGACAAATGTGTTATGTCATGTCTTGTTCCACCCTGTCCAGCGTACCAAACGCACCCTAATTGGAGACAATATGATATATTGTTGATACAAAATTAGGAAAACTGTATCTATTGGGTTAGGCTCATTTGAACCAAACCCAATTCCAGTAACTTGATGTATTTATATATTATGAATTTAATATGATTATTAACTTTTTGATAAATGTACATTAGACATTAGACCAACCCGTGATTAGCTACATTCAAAATTACTAGAAGCGTACTCGCGCAATGCAGCGAGATACATCATGATTATAATATTTTATTTTATTATTTATCTCAGTCGATGTTATAATATGGCTTTATGTGATTTTGAGAAAGC